TCTACCGACGCTCGAGCGACGTAGGCATGTAACGTGAAGGTTCTCGTCTCATGTCATGTGCTTGTCGGCGTTTCCTCGGACAAAAGTCATATGACCAGAGTCTTGGCATGTGTTGTCTGCCCGCTATCCTCATCCGACAGTTGAGTCCATTCTCGGTTGCGTTCCATTCTGAGACCACTTATCTGCTAATCTGCGAACTCCCCCGGACCTTACATGGAGACCATAAAAAAACTCTAATTTCTCCTCAAAACCTTTCGAGTCCATGAACTTGTTGTTCTCGTGGTCGGATATGTTCAGAATCGGTGTCAAGATGCATAGTCTACTTCCTTGGTGACACTGTTCTGTGTGAATCTTGATGTGTTTACATGAATGTTGGACTTCAGAAGCTTCCCAACTGCTTTGAGTTCCGCACCACTCGCATACAGTTGTGCTATAGTTGTAGCCTCAACGAATGGTCTATGGCGTTCCTCTTGAGAGCACGAATACTGCCAGGACTAGACCAGCTCATAGTTTCTTTACATTGAGGACTTCAAATGCCTTTATCGAATATGAATACTTCTGCGACAGTGTCTATGGACTCCCGGGCGTTCCGACATTTCATCGGGCAAGTAGAACTTACTTGCCGGCCCGGATATGAACCGACATATCCGACGCAGCCGGCACTTCCTAGTCATGGTCGATGGCCATTATTGATGGTTGATTGCATTCTTGCCATTTCTCCTTTCATCAATTCAGAAAGGAAATACCTTTACTTGATTCGATCTTCTAACATTGTAGAAGAACACTCTACATTGGGTTTTGTTTGTAGCCGTCGGCTTCCTTCAACGGCATTATCTCGGTACACTTTTCTGCATAATCACGGGTGTAGTCAGATAAAATTTTCGCCCCACTAACTCCTCCTGATTGAAGCAATGTTCTATCGAGATACCATTCACATCTCAGTGGCATAAAAGCTGAGATTATCTCGTAGCTATTCGTTTTGGAAGCTGGACTATCTTATCAATTGAGACTATCGTCTCCTGCCACCCGCATTTCCATGCAAAGCAGAGTCACAATCCTGCAGAATGGATTCGCGCATCAATGGAGAATTACCCCGGATGACGATCCAAGGCCCACACGATGCTGAGGAATCATCTCTCGAGGAGAAAAACATCACGAACGAGGAGCTAGAGTCATTTATGGCGTTTCAGGGTCCTACTTTTGATATGGACACATTCTTACAGGATAATTTAGATATCAATTCTCAATGGCAAATGGTGGACCCGGACCTTCCGACTCAATCCGTTGTAGAGCCAAGCAATGGCCCTTGGGCATTTGATATGGCTAACAATAACTTTCCAAGCACTTGCTTCCCGGAGCCAGCTGCGATGGGTTTCTCTTTCAACAGTTGCAATACTTTTGGTGGTCACCTTCCAAATCTCGAGTCTGACGGGTGGCTTACATCATTTCTTGAGTCACCCGAGTCGCTCCTTTACCCCTCTTCGGAAGATACTTCATTTACAGAGCCGCGATTACCTTGTGAGCCTCTTAATCCTAAAGTTCAGATATCTTTTGAAAATACCGGCCTAAATAGTGGTGTATCTGAAAGAGATTCGTCAATTGACGAGGTTAAAAAGGAGGTGCCCGAATTGGCACCATCAGAGTCTCGGGTAGAACTCTCCCATGCCGAGGATCAAGCAACTTCATCCCTTAATCAAACAGCTGTGGCAACTCCTCAAAATATGGAGGACTGTTTGATAAATTTCCATAGTGGAGTAAAGGCGCCGAAGAGAAAGAGAAAAGAGTTCAATCGAAGGGAGAAGTTAAAAGTTCATTTGGTTAGACAAGCTGGAGCGTGTCAAAGTTGTCGAGCTCGTAAAGTCGAGGTATGTTGAGTTAATTGTATCTATATTCATCACCGGAGCAAGGATCTAATATTGCAGTGCACATCTGATGGCGTTTGTGATCGATGCTTCAAGCTGGCTGGCGATCCACTTATGGCTCGACAAATCTGCATCAGACATAAATTGAAAGATGTATACCTTGGAGTTACAGGTAGTCAGAACTACTCAAATATTCCCTTCTAGATACTGAATCAATATAGATGTTCAAACCAGATTGCTCACTTCCGGGAAAGCGCAAGTATATCAGCTACTTAGTGCACTTGAAGGTCATATGGCAAAAGTTGAGCTTCGTGCGGACTGTTCCATGGCAAACTTTCCATGTCGCTCGCTTCCGTGTAAAGTGATGGTTTGTAGATCTGAGGATTTCTGCCGATGGAGGAGTTTGACCAAAATGAATGGTGTTTACATAACGCACAAGTCGTTGCGAGATAAGACTTATTTAGTCGTACCAGACTCACTACCTACTGTTGATGAACTGGATTTCTTCGGCAGGGAAATCTTACTATCTTCTCCCGAGAGCCACTCTGGTAAGATAACACACATCTTGGATAAATTTCTCTACATCTATTGCAAACAATATTTCGGGTCACATCTGGTAAGTTGTATTGTTCCAAGATAATATGATCTCTGATTGACCAATAACAGGCATGTATATGTAATGCCGCATTCAGAATCACGAGCTTAAATAGTCTTGTTTTCTATGGAGTGGCAAATATCCATTGCCATCCCCATGGTCAGCTTGATGTAGTCAACACAATCAATGACACTTTCTCCCCAGATACAGTCCGTGAACAAGTCCGCCTTAAAGCCTCGGAAGGTCTCGAGGAAGCTGAAAAGTATTTCTTCGCCGAAATTGAGAATCTTTGCAAGAAAGCTGCAAGTAACAAACAAACGCGTGTTATTGCCGGTGTATGTTTGTTAAGACTGATGCTTTTCTACCGGGAACGAGTCGTGCGAATCGAGTTGAGGGCTAATCTCCCAAGGTGCAAGACAGATGAAGATCTGAAGAATTGCATTTACCCAGGGAAAACAGATCCTCAAAAACGATCCGAACAATGTGGTTTCATGTACAAACAACTGGCCGTGGCATTTAGCACTCTTTGTAGAGGCGATAATACACCCCTGACTACTGAATGGAAAGCTGAAGCTGCTGGAAGAGTAGCTCCAGATGCCCCCATGCTCGCGAATACTTTCTCGGAACTCAAGATCGCATATACGGAATTTTGTAAGCGACTCCCCCCAGACTCTGACTCAAAGCATTATTAACAACGATGCAGGTGAAAAGAAGTTAACGCATAGGGATGATGATGTATTTAAGACTTTGATTGTTGATCCAGCCGAGAAAGAAAGGGAACGAGTAGCGAAGAAACAATTGAAAAAGCCGCCCAAAGTTCGGAAACAGCCCAAGAGTTGAGAATGCCCGTCGATGGCTGAATCGATCTTGTCCGATTCCATGGAAAAACCGCTCTCCTCCCAATCCTATAAGGCTCGTAGTAGCGTTATCCACTAGGAGTTAGTTTACGATGATGCTTTCGAATCCCGGCATATGTTTATCTGCTCAACATCCAGCAAAGTTGAATTCACTGGTTTGAGTTCATTTTGGCTTTATTGTACCATGAAGAGTTCCTATTTAGATTCTTACACGGTTTCGCCACCGAACTAAGCGAAACAGGAGCATAACTATCACATATCTTACAAACATGATACTACCGAGAGCGATATTGATCCTTCCTCTTCTGGCCGATTGTTATAAGACATCCTTCTTCTGCCTCTTCACACAACACGAATGGCAACTGAACCTCCGACCTTAAATGATCCCGGGCATCTAAAAATATAACTCAAACGCGAATACTCGAATAGAAAGAAGACATGCAATTACGGAGTCTGTGCCGGAACTCACAATGTCTGGGAAGTAAAAGGCAAATTCCCAAACTTTTGAAGCAACGGCGGATATCATCATCCACAAAAAATTATAGTTTTTGAGCACTATTTTATGCCAATGTGGCGATAGTGAACGTTATTGACTATAGAAGTTGGTGGCTAAAAAATGTTGTGGATGATAAATGTTACAGTACTCCTATATATCGAATGGTAGAATGTAATGCCAACCTATCTACCAAAGCAACTTCTCAGAGATTCAACCATCAAATCCATAGCAGAGTAATGGGCTATCAAATACAAAGAAAAAGCATAGATCGAACCATCAAATCCTCTGCTCCCAAATTTCCCGACTGTCGCATCAAAATATGTGAGATGTGCCTCATGATACATTGGTGATTTACATTGGGAGTTGTTTATTTATTTATTCATTCATTGCGAGTGTGTCTAATCCACTGATCTATATATACATACATTAATATATCAAAACAAAAGAAAGCGAAAGCGAGACGGGCGGAAAACAATGTAGGGAAAGGAAATTATGGGTTGGGAAAGGAAAGGAAAGGACACGATGGGATAAAATTGGATTCGCGACATTTGTTTTTGTCGGGGATGGAGAGGGAGATGAGGATGTGGAGGAATGAATGATGGATGATGGAGATGCATGGAATGTAGTGGAGTTGAGGGATGTGGATGTTGTGAAGGTATTGCGGGGAAAGGAAGAGAGGGGATTGAATTGGAGATGGGAGATGCTAAAGAATTTTGTTGAAAATGTTGAGATGAGGAAGAACAAGGGGTTAATCTTTGTGGAAGTGGAGGGAAATTTTCACTACCACGATTAGGATATTTGAAAAGGGTAAACATATTAGCGTTCGAGAAAGAAAGAGCTACACTCAAAATCATGGCTACATACAGTATTTCCATGTGTCATAATTTCATTATCCGAGAAGTATATTTAGTATTTATCAGAAACCATCCTGCCTGGCATTTCGGTTCTTCAGCACACTTACAAATTCGAAAACATCACATCAAAAACACATCACAACATCTGGATATCAACCATAGGCTCCTTGTAAATATCCAATCTACCCGTATAACAATTTCGGATATCCCAAATTTATACACAAACGAAAAGCTCCGGTCAGCTAGATGAAGAAGCCCTTCAAACACTACGTGCGGAAACCATTTCAAGCTTAGAACTCTATGGACAAATTCCAATTTACCCAGACGAAAATTCGATCAATCCACCGTCCGTGGATGCATTTTCACAATGAAGTCCTCGTTGTATGATATTCCACCTGCGGAAGTATATATTCCCTCCTTGAAGACTTCGATATCAAAACGTCGGACAATCTTTGAAGGGTATGTTAGTTCATATCACCATTAATAGCCCGATAGAACTCTCCTTCACTTTTCTCTTCTTTCTTTCGCCTACTATCCACCTATCTTCTACCTTGTTTGCCCATTTACCTCATCAAGTCCTCTCCCAGTTCTCCAACTTTGAATGTTCCAAAAGCAAACGGAACCAAATCACTAACCTCGGAAATCAACTTATGGGTTTCCATCAATGCAATCTCTTTTCCCAAACAACCTCTTGGCCCCATTCCAAAAAGAAACATACCATGTTCTAGTTCTACATCTTTACCTTCCATCCAGCGCTCTGGCCTGAAGGCATCTGGGTCGGGCCCGCTTTTTGTGTCAGCGGAAGGAAGCAGAAGAGAGAAAAAAGCCGAAAATGGAGAGAAGGCATCAAAACGCAAACTTACAACAAAACTGGATCCCTTTGTACGACCATAGCCTGACACGTGATGTCCGTCCCCCCTGGCACAAAAAATCCATCAATCAGCTTCCCCTCTGGCGGAACAACTCTCGGAAGCCAGTTAGATACACTGGGATTTAAGCGCATGCCTTCTTTGACAGAACCAATTAGATATGGAAGATGAGCTCGTACTTCTTCATCCTGAATTGGCGTTGAAAGTAAGTTCTTCGCTTCGGCTTCACGAATTTGAGCCAACGCTTTAGAATAACAACCAGGTGTTGTTGCTAAGAACCGGATAATGGCGCCAAGGGCAGTACCGGTTGTGTCAGCGCCGGCTTGGATGAGAAGAGTCACGTGGGAACGTTTTTGTAGGGGAGTAAGTGGCTCGTCGTTGATTCTTGCGTCAAGACAACTGCGAGATTCAGTACAACGCCCCATAGACGACACTCTGAGATGCAGATACTCACTGTTGTAAAAAGTCCGGTTTCTCTGGATATATGCCCTGAGATATTTCATATTCGCGCTGTGTGATGGCGCGATCGGCTTCATGAATCAGATGTCCCATACCACGTTGAATGCTGGGCTTTGGTAATGCCCATGAAGCAACTCCTGGAAGATTGAGAACGTGTTTTCGAAAAAAGGTGAATCTGGCCGAGAAACCAATGAAATCAAGGCCTTCTCTCCAGCTATGAAGTAATCCTCGTTCATCTCGACTATCTTTCACGAAGCCCCATGGTTGATTAAATGAGAAGACAGTCATTATCTCGGCTGAGAATTGTCTGTCAAGGGTAAGCTAATGTTTTGAATACTTGAGAGAACGAATAACTTACGCTACCTTATCACAAAGATCAACTGTTTCACCTGCTTTTGCCTTTTCACTCATAACCTTAGTGAAAAGGAGGATTTGGCTATCCATGCTTTTTTCCCAATCTTTTCGCAATTCTCCGAGTGCCCACTGAAGGTCTCATATCAGCGATGATATAACAAGCTCCTTGGTCAGCTGAGATAAGAGAAAGATGATCGATTTTTATCTTCATGAATAATAAGCATGCAACTTACCGGTCCAGCTCCTAATGCTTTTCTTAAAGGTGTATGATCGACAGATGAAAGGGTAGTAAATAAATTCGGTGGACCAAAAAGACCAGTGCCATAGAAAGTAGACTTTTCGTTAAGACTTCGATCCCAATATATCTCTTTCAATGCGGATGGTCTTGGAAAAAGGAGCATCTCAGGGGCAACACGAATTGGTGCATCCCCTAAGAATTGTTAGCTGTTATCATTAGCATTTGGCGAGATTGACATACTTCCGTACTTCTTGACCAGATCAAATACCCATTGATGCTCCCATCTTTTTACTGAAGTAATTGCTAGAGGAAGAGAGAAGCAAGCTGTGTACCACGGGCCACGAAACTTTGCTAGAGGATGAAAGTATAAATTATAAATGATACGATAGACAATAGAAGTACCTAATGTCGGAACAAAAAATTTCAAGGTTGGGTAAAAATCAAGATTGGAGAGAAGCATTTTGGCTAAATGATGGCAGATAATATTGAACATCACATCACATCGAGCAACAGAAGCTGGATATCCATCATACAGATATACCTCCAAGCACCAAGGAGATGATTTTCAACCGGATACACCACCAAGAGATGATTCCGAGGTGTGTCCATTCAAGCAAATGATGCATATTTCCTAGGTATGTATCGCCCAGGGTAATCGATAAGAGACAATCTGATAGGCTTGCAACTGGTGTCATGGGTGACATTACCGCTTTTGTGTGAACATTCCAACGCGTTGTTTCGACAGTCAAACGAGTCAAGTACCGAGGGAGGTATTACAATCTATCGGGGCACTTGCCAAGATTGGAATCATGATTCTGGATTTTACCCCTCACGAACTCTTGCCAAATGAGCCACCACCAGCACCCTGCGAACTGCGACAGATAATCAGAACCATGGAGATCATGGCTTGTTGAGATGATCGACTTTGCTGATCATCATGATATGCAATCTCTCAGCTCCCGTCATTCTGCTCATGGATGGCGGGCTACCAAAATGATAACCAGTAGCCTCTCGAAGAAGTATGTATGACTGCATATGGTGGTTCAAATGGCACATGCACGAAGCCGATAAATTATATCACTGAATCAATGGCCGTTTGATAATAAATCGACATTCAACCAACCATTTCTTCCATATTTGGAAGATCATCGGTATAACAGCATAAACGGTGATACGTTGGTTGCCATTCAATGTTGTTACTCGCAAAGGAAGGAAGGAAAGAAATTAAAGTTGACGGAGCGGGAAAATTAGTTCTGATCAGATTATGCACGGGCCATCAGTTGAATGTCACGTGTTTCTTTCCTCGCAAGAGCAGAGAGGAGAGAAGTTCCTTCCCCTTGAAGGGCACTTACTACTCAGGTAGGTATCCAGTAGGTATCCAGTAGTTATCTACTACTAATAAGTGAAGTATAATTGTGACTTGGAGCAAACGGAAGGAGAATCAAATGGTCTCTTGATTTTACCTCCACTCATTTCCGATTCATATCAGAGATGGGCTTTTGATCTTGCTTTCCATCTTCACATTCATTCATTCCTCATCATTTCTCCAGACAATCATTCAAATCCCCATTCCTTACATTAATTAAGATGCTTCTCCGGTACAGAAGTAGTTTCTTCTTCGCCATTGGGGCTCTCTTCATTCTTTGGACGTTGTTGAGAAATCACGGAAAGATTGTAAGCCATGTGGTTGAGCAATATAAAGGTACAGTGGCAACGGAGATTGTGAAAGGACCAGGCTTTAAACAGGTACCTACCATTCAAATTATCGATCATATGGGGATTGAAGTCCCAAAATCACAAGAAGACTTGTTCCCCGTTCCACCAAAAGCTCCCATTGATCCGCCGACCCTCATCGAACCTACGATTGTGAGCAGCAGGGTTACCATTCATTTGTCAATACAAACCCCCGAGTCCACGACGAAAACGATATCCTCATCAGAGACCTCAACTTCAGCTGTAAAGTCCATCATCCAGGACGAGTTTGTTAAAGAGAACGCGAGACTTGGAAAGTAAGTTTGTGAGAACTCTCTTGGAAAGTCTGTTTGCTGAATATATTTGTTAGGGAATCAAGTGCCGGTCAAATATATGGAAACACCCTAGATGGAGTTATAGGAGCGGGCTCGCATACCGCATCTCACTTATCAAATCTCAAAGAGATTGAGGGCTGGAAATCGTATGCCAAATCGAAGCCACTTGAGTACAACCCATATCCCAACTATAATAGTGAAGTTTGGAATTCAAAGAATAAGGGATCTTATGTGCCATGCGATGGAGTAGATGGACCAATCAAAAACATCTTGGCGTTCTCAGGACATTCGAAAGTTTTCGAAGAACCGCAGATGGGATCATTCTCGCTTTTTGATATCGACAGTAATTTATGCTTCGAGAGAGAAACTAGGCTTGGTTTATACGGATATGCAGAAGGCTTCATGGAACCAATAGGTACTGGTCCAATCGCTGGGATAACTCGGCATAAACGCGATGTGCCTACAAGAATCCAATGGAATGATATTAATTGGGGATCGCTTCAAAGTCAATGTGTTGAAAAGAACAAGAACCGATACCTGGTTTCCGAGATCCCTGAACCACTTAATAGAGAGATCATGATTCCTGCTCAAAATACATCGTCGGCATGGAATGACTTGAAGGCAAAAGAAACCAACACCAAGAAGAGAGTCCTTGGTACTATCGTTAATCAAAACCAGGATAAGGAAATTGAGCAGAAAGATCATCTTGTTAAGGCACACCTAGCAAAGGAAGCCAAAGCCGCAATTGGTGCCAAAGAACCATTCAAGACACGTACAGCAATTATGCTTCGATCGTACTCTGGAAAGAAGTGGAACGACAATGACAAGCAAAATGTTCGTTCGCTTATTACAGAACTAGCTTTGAAATCTGGAGGAGAGTACGAGGTTTTTTTGCTCGTGCATATCAGAAACAGTACTATTGCCATAGAGAACGACGCAGACTACATCGAAGCTCTTCAGAAAAATGTCCCTAAAGAATTTCATGATATTGCGGTGCTTTGGAATGAAGCTTATGTACAGGGATTCTACCCACTCATTCCGAAAAAGGTTACAAACGTACATCAATCTCAATGGCTCCCCGTTCAGATCTTTGCACTCGACTATCCACAGTTTGAATTTTATTGGAATTGGGAAATGGACACTCGATATACTGGCAATCATTACGATCTTCTCGAAAGACTCACAAAGTTTGGAATGGACCAACCAAGAAAATACTTATGGGAACGAAATGAACGATATTATATCCCTTCAATACATGGCCTCTACAATACTGAGTTCCGCAAGTCAGTTGAAATTCTCTCGGGTAAAGATACGATATGGGCTCCACCAAAAATTGCAAATGTCATTCCTACCGGTCCACCGCCACCTGTTTCAGACCCAGCACAAGATAATTATGAATGGGGCGTTGGCGAAGTGGCAGACTACATCTCTGTTGCACCAATGTTCAATCCAAATGGTACTGGATGGGTTGGAAGAAATGATGTCTGGGGATTCGATGGACGTAATGATACTCCTCGTCGTACGACCATAATCACTCATTCAATGTGCAGCAAGAAGTTATTGGATGTTATGCATACCGAGAACATTAAAGGTAATCATGTCAGCAGCGAAATGACACCCCAGACGGTCGCTCTTCTCCATGGATTGAAAGCAGTATATGCACCACTTCCGATATTCTTTGACAGAGCTTGGAATGGGACGGGTTTAAATAAATGGTTCAACCCTGGACCGAAGGGAGAAAGTGGTGTTTCGTCGGAAAGTCCATATGGTTGGGGCAAAGAAAAAAGATTTCTAGGGATGACATGGTATTATAGAGCTATTCCACCAGGTAGATTGTATAATAATTGGATGGGATGGGAAGATCATGGAATTGGTGGGGTTGAGGTATGTTTCGATCTTAGCTTGGTTCGTGCACAGTGGCTAACGTACACAGTGGGAGAGAATACATGGCAGGCCGTGTCTTCCTCCACTTCTGCTTCATCCCGTTAAAAACACAGAGAAGACGAAGTCTGGTTATGCCACGAAGTATAATTTTCCTTGATGGTCTATGGGTATGGATATGTATTGATTTTGGTCTGGAAACAGATTGGGAGTTGGGAACAAGTGCACACAGATGGGAATTCGCCTGCTATACTTGCTACCAAAAACGAATATATTGAAGGGTTGAAGAGTGGGCAAGAGACTAGTACGCGATATACAAAAGATGGAATTATTTGCTTGGCTGAATTTGCTAGATAATGATATAATATACGAATTTGCGATCTTTTGAGTACGGCGTCGATTGCTCTTCGAATCGACTTGTTTTAATGGCAATCCAACGAAATTGAATGAATGAATGTGTAGGTGGTGATTCTTGGGAGACAAATTTCTTTTCTGCCAATATTATAGCGAAGACTACAATATAGCATGATCCAGCAGCTTCGCCTGGACTCAAGTAGAGGGCTGCAGGTCATTAAATTCATGAATTGAGAATCTGCCAAGAATGTTCTAGATAGGTGTTCCAGTTTTGTAGGGGTTTGTTGGAATGTAGAAAGTCTTTTTGTGGGTTTTCTTTGTAATTTTTGATGTAAGACTGTATGGGCTGATGTTGGATGCTGTGCGTGCTGATGTAGATAGTGTAGAGTATTTGGATGAAGGTGAGCCTTTTGCGATGGGCTGGCATGGGGTAGGACGGGATGTATTGGTGGGTGTTCATCTTTCGGAGTGGAAGAGAAAAGAAATTGAGGAGGAGAGGGGAACTTAAGGTGGGGGGTGGGCGGGTTAGAGTTTATGTCTGCTGGGGGAAGGAGAGATGTCGATGGGGAGCTTAGGGTGTGAAAAAGGGGGGGGGAGAAGAAGGTGGAGAGAAGGTGGAGAGAAGGTGGAGAGAAGGTGGATAGAAAGTGGAGATATCAGGCGGAAAGGAGAAAGTGGAGAAAATGTGGAGAGAGTGTGGAGAGAATGTGGAGATGTAAGGCGGAAAGAAGAATGTGGAGAGAAGGTGGAGATATGAGGATGGTGGATAGTGAATACGCGACTGGATATCCAGCGGAACTTCTGGATATAAGATACTACAACGAAAAACTTTGATGGATCTCAGCATGGAAGTTTTGAATTTTCCAAAATGTGCGAATAGGTGGTGTGTAATCATGGAGTTGAAGTATAGTAACTTTGATTGTGAATTGCCTCTTAATAGACTAATGACATGTGGGTTTTGTTCAGGATCCTGATTTTGGTTTTCTGGGGGGACTCATTGTCATTCTTGCAAAAAAATTGGTGGATGGTGGAATTTTTTGGTCGCTGGTTTTGAGATGGAACGAGGTTGCCTTTGAGGATTTTAAACTTGAGTGATGATTGCGATGGTAGTTGGAGTGCATAACCACGAAGGAGGGCTGAGATGAGACGGGTATAGTTTTTTGGGATTTAAGTTGGTGTGATTTGACATAGGATTTTATGCTGGTGTGGTCTCAGGGGTTGCGTTTTGTTTAATTTGGGATTTGATGAGGGGGTGATACTGAAGGTGGAGTTGGTAGAGGATCATTTAGATGGAAATCTAGTGTTTGTGATGTTGATACAAAGAGCAGGCCAGTTGTTTGATGCTTAAGAAGATGGATGTTTGTTGAGCGAAAATTGAAGTGTCTAGGCTAGTCGCCTCACCCAGTCGTTATACTAACTATCTCTTTTTCTGCTTGTGACATGCAGTATATATATATTGAGACACACTTAGGCGCATCGCATAGTCAGCATAGCTTAGCTATAGATAGACTGAATCGATTAAGAATTTACTACTACTACTATGTATATTGTAGGGCAATGAGAAACCCCGAGTTCCTCGATATTTTCTGAGTATATAGAATGCATCCGTCGACATGGCAGGAAATTTGGTTTGTGGCTTTTTGTTCAGATGGCAGGGTTTGGGGGGGATTATTTCAGAAAATTACGGGTTAAGCGGGTTGATGAGGAGGTACGATAATATAGATTTTGAAGTTTGGTTGTTGTTGTTGATGCTATTGTTGTTGTTATCTCATGCTTGTTGTCAATTTATCATAACAGATACAGACTACTAGGAGGAAAAATCCGAGGCCCTGGGTTCGAACTTGATGCTTTCTTGAGTGACACACTTTTCCGTGATGAGCTCGAGAAAACAACTGTTCTTCTTAGGTTCCCTTGAAACTTCTTGTGTTTTTTGTCTTTACTGGATGAATGAGATGGAAGGGGAACGAATGGGAAAAGCGTCTTATATAGTAATGGAGGATTAGGAATTTCCTTGTGACGGGGAAAGAGTTGTGGAGGGTATTCTGGGTATGGAGAGGAGGAAGAGCGAGGGAGTATGAGGGATTGGAATGGTGAATAGATAGTAGCTTGTGTCAGATAGTATGGTGTTGGCGTGGAGCGTGAAGGCTGAACGTTGATGTCGATGATGAGATAGTGAATAGCTGGGAGATGATCAAGGAAACCTTCTCGTATACTTAGATAAATAAAAATCGTGAGCATTGCTGAGTTTCAAAGCATCAAACAGCGTTTTCCCTGATGAAAAAAAGGACCGAGGAAGGTTTCTCAATTGGTATGCTGCTTTTTTTTCAGGATGAAAAAGAACAGTTGTGGAAAGAGTCGGTGTTGGAAGGTCCCTGATGAAGCGTATTTAATAGTGTTGGTTTCGTCGAATCTTTGTATTTGTTGTGAGTTTTGGGTACAGAGCTTGTTATCTTTGAGAAAATAGTTACTGTCAATATTGTTGACTTGCATTATACTTCATTCATTGATATTTTCATCAAAGTTATCTTTCGTTGAGAACTCGAAAGTAATATACAGTCTATACGCGCCTTGGAGTAGAGGATCTCTAGAGGGCCGGGATGATAATAGAGGGAGTTTTGTTTACAGTAGACTATCTTTACTATGGACTTTTTGACGGCGTTGAGAAGACTTATAGTCATACTGTATGACTGTCTTCTGGTGTCGCGGTTTACAGAATGTTGTATATTGAATGACTTATGATCAAGTTTGGGCGTTATATATAGCTAGGATTTCAACGAAGATTGATGAAAATAAATGTTCAGCATAACCTATTCATAAAAGGGATACCTACTTCTTGTCGCTTATTCCAAGGATACAGGGAAGTGTTCTTTACGGAAGTATCCGGCCGATCTGACCGGTAGTGATTTAATTCCGATTCGTCCCGATCTGGTGGCATATCCGAGAAGCTTTCTACTCGGTTAAAATCGACCAAACTTTCATATATTGATCATGTGATAGTCAATTTCTGACGACTTTACTGGACCAGTAAGTACGCATCTTATTCCAAGATATGAAGATACAAGGATATCCTAACATAGAGGATTTCAGGATATATACCCTTTTGGGATGTGGGGACTCAAATGGATATCCTTTTAGAGAGTATATCCTTGTAGTCAGGACCCCTTTAGACAGGGTCTTTATAGAGGGTTTGATATAGTTCTCAAACCATGACTCGCAAGATATGGGAACCGACAAGGTATGTCGACCAATTTGGTTTAATTTTGGTATCTAAAGTAAAGAGATCACGTTGTAGCTATAAATACGGTGTGATCAAAGGGGTCTAGTCTGCTGTAAGCATCTTTCAATTCCCATTTCAGCATGATTACATGGATCATGAGTTTTTGTGATTACTAGGAATATTACAAGAGAGTGTAGAAACGTCATTTAGCGAGTTTCACGAACTGCACTAAAAGTTGAGAGACTTTAAGTCTTCTTCACTTGTGGTCATCTCACAGCCTTTTCATCGTATAATTTGCTCACGATTTTGCGAATGGGAATGGGAGGGTTTTTGTTGCCGCTACATTACTTGCTCTTAACGATGCTACTTGATGTGACGATTTGCAGACGAAAGTGTATGAATAGAGGTTTATAGTTTCGTGGCGAAATTGAGCGCATAAGTATCATACCGGAAACATTCCTTCTTTTTGAACAAAGATTGGCTGTTATTTAAGATCGACGCGTTTAACGTTCATAGTATTCATATCACAAGGTGATTGTTATTGTTGCTACCATTTTCTTGTCGTTTTTCCTTCTCTATCGAGATAGAAATCAGACGATTTGACAGAGCACAACAGTCAAATCGTTGAGAGTAGTAAAAGCTCCAGAAAACAATTTGTTCCGCGAGCGAGAAAACACAGAGGACCTTCTTTGCGGGTTTCATGAACAACTAAAGTTATGTGTCTGTTTGCTGATGGTTGGCACTTCGACGTAATTTAAATAGCAAGATCCTGACGGTTGATACGGAGCATACAACGAATTTGGATTTTGAATGAATTTGCTTGCATGGACCGACAAACCGATCAACATAGTGATATTGATCTAGAAAATCAGAATATGAGGAGGTACTTTCAATCGGGTACCGCTGTAAATAAATCTGAAATATTTATTCAGTTGTGCCGATAGTTACCTCTTTCGTTGAAGTTTTATGTAAGTTACAGGAAGCGTCGTAGCCTGGAAGAGCGTCCAGCAAGTTGTAGTATAAAGCATCGAATGCTTCAGTTCAAATTCAGTTATTCTTTCTGCTAGATCATGAGATCTCATCTTCAGCTCGTCTGTAATTATTTCGAAATCGCCAAGATAGTATGTAGATGCTCTACTTATTCTTGTTACAGAATTAGGATGACATCTCCGACATATCTTTCTTGTTTTTTCTCAATCGCCTCTGTCGCTGGGCAGAAGTGGGTTCTGTTATACAGATGAGAAATTTACATTTCCATCGGAACATCCGGATGACTTTACGAGGCAAGCAGATAATGACAAACGGATAATGACAGGTGTCATAACCCCACTACTTTGAGGAAAGGCCAAAAGTTGAATTCAGCTTCGAATATGTTGACGGTTTGGATGGAAAAACCTGAAGGATTCGGAGACCGAAAACGGAGCTTTTGTGGGCGTTCGATGGAGAATTTAAAAATTAAGACAGGAAGTGGGAGAAGAGATCAACATATGAGGCTCGATTCACCTGTAGAAGCAAGAGAATTTTGAATTCCTCCTAGATCGAAATCGTTAAGATGTACAAAGGAAAGCTAGAAAAGTCAATAGTAGTCGTTCCCCATTTTGGCTTGCTTGCACCCCTGGTTCAATTGTCACCGGAGCTTTCACTATGGAATATCTAGAAAGTCCGAAAATGACTAAGTTTTCTCGCTCAGCACTTTTTTCCTGCAAATAGTCAACACCGAGAATGTCCGGAGAAATTGTTAAACCCCATCATAATATCGCATGATTAGATATGACATCTCGCTAGGATCCGGGGTAAACGCTTAGACAAGAATTATGTGGAGTTAAGCTCAACGCTAAAATTTCTGAAACCTTATAATATGTGGTTCAAGTAATCTGTACGAGTACGCATGAGAGAAATGGGTTAGACCAAATGACTAAGCTATCAATCAATATAAAGCATTCTTATACTTTACGATAGGCGAGCGCTGAGGAGCGTTATTCGCATGAATTTGTGTATTGTTTTACGAGCGTGGAATTGTCTGCAGAATGGGATGAAAATGACTGAGATGATCTCGAGGGGACATGCTGATAAGCTTTGGTCCCTTATTTTCCCAGCTCCGCCACCAGCAGTTTGGTCTACACCAAGGGAAGAATGGTGGGGGGGCTGATCGTCCCGACTACCGGGGGCGATTTGAATCATTTGGACAATATAATCAAAATAGACTTCTGCCTATGTAGGAGTCAATATGTAAGGTGAAGACTAGTATTATAACAACAGGGGTATAATTGAATCTAAAGACTTTTCATTAATCCTTTTAAAACCTTCTTTCCTGAAACTATATATATATGAAAACCCTTTAATATCGGAATAATAATCAATTCAACATCAACCCTACATCGTTGCTCGTAATAGAGCTTTCCTTTCTTAGATTTTCATTCTCAAAAACTTCAAAGCTTATTTCATAGTTAATTACCATTATATTAATATTATTTCGAAGTCTTATTAAATCCTATAGTAATAAAATTAATATTACAAAGCCTATATTCTTATTTTATAAGGTTTAATCTCTCTATAACTCAAGAGAAGCTACATTATAATACAAGGGTACTAAGAATCAATCTATAATTCAAGTTTTTAAAAAATCGAAAAATAAACTATTTCCTTTTCCTTACTTCATTAATATCGACTAGATTTCGATACGAGAATGAATCGTATTCAAGAATTTATATAATATATTATATTTAACAAGATTATCTTTCTTTTTAGGCGTTTGTTCTCGAAAGTAAATAAAATCTGAAAACTCTAAAATTAGAAATCAAAAATCGATATTATATTATTGATATATTATAGTAAAATCAAGTGGATCTTGAAAATCTCGAAAAGTTTAAAAGCTATTAAAGTCCCGAAATCCTGAAAAGTTCTGAGACCCCTGATATCTTCAGGAAAAGTTTCAAATCGGCCTCGGTATTTCTGTAGAGCCTTCAATTTCGTAGGGCGACAAGTGTAAAGGCTCGGCCTAAATTGATTTGCGCCCTGTTGTAACAAGATTAGAAGGTAACCTAGATAAGCTCAGAAGCCAAGTACAATGAAGCTCTGTTGAGATGAGACACCATAATTCCGTCCAATAGAATAGAATGGTAAGTGCCGAGAGGTACAAAACTGTTTGATTGAATGCTTATTCTTCAAATAAACATCTAGAACAGTGTCTAATGATTCTAGAATCTTTCCTATTTCTGGGCATGCTCCTTCGTCTATTCGAGAGGTAGTCTGGTTATCTTGTGTGGAGAAACAACGCTGAGCCCCGATGCTCATACTTCGCGAGGCATTGATAATTAGTTACACTCATCGACTGTAAAGCTTTCGATACTCCGCGAAACAGTTATTCAGAAATTGCATTTCTCGACACTTCTGAGCTAACATCCGCTCTTAACGTAGCACGAAAACTTAACGGAAGTTCTTTCTTCAATCATACATTCGCCGTCGTAAATTCTAAACGAACAGCAAGATCTGGGATGTAACCGAGGACTTGGGACTACCATCCAAAGGTTTTCTCTATTAACCTACTTTAGACTTTCATACTTTTCAAAACACGAATTAATTTATACGAAAGTCAAATGATTTGTATTATTCTCTTTTTGGTGGATGGAAATCTTGCTTGTTATCTGACAGGGTGCTTGGGATAGCATTACTTGTCTTCCACGTACGATTCTAAACCCATCTAGCTATCTAAATACAGTGAGGGATTTCCGTGTGTCGGGAGGAGTTCGATGGATCTATGATCTCGTAACCTAGTAGTTGCATAGGGGAAGTAAGCAAAGACCATCAATGACCACCTGCGAGTGCGGAATACCTCTTTTTTGGATCTCAAGTTTTTCTATAAGTAGGAAGCGTATTCCCAATTGTTATTCTCTCATCAAACACTCACTACTTCTTTAACCAGCATACACTGCAACCAACATACTTACTAAGTTCACTGAAAATGATCTACTCCACAAGCCTCATCGCTTTCTTGGCCAGCACGGCTTTCGTGTCTGCAGCTCCAGGTTCCGTAAGATCCCTCAGTCCACTGATAACATGAAGTTTATACTGAGAATCCATTATTCAGTCCCTAGAGGCTCTCGAGAAGCGGGTTTCTTGCACATTCACCGATGCAGACGCTGCTAAAGCCGGAAAGACCGGTTGTACTACAATCACTTTGAGTAATATTAAAGTCACAGGCGGTCATACTCTTGACTTGACTGGCCTTAACGTGGGTACAAAAGTTATCTTCGAAGGACTCACCAGGTGATTAGTCTCCCTTGGTATGCACGAATCCTTCTAACAACATTTCAGCTTCGGCTATTCTCAGTGGGAAGGTCCTCTTCTCTCTATCTCTGGACAAGACATCGTAGTCTCCGGTGCGGCAGGCCATTCGCTTGACGGAAACGGTCCACAATATTGGGACGGACTTGGCTCTAATGTTAAAAACGGCAAAGGCAAAATAAAGCCCAAGTTCTTCGCTGCTCACTCATTGACTGGATCTTCCACTATCACTGGTCTACATTTCGTCAATGCGCCTGTCCAGTGCATTTCAATTGATTCATCTGATGGATTGTCACTTATCAATATTAACATTGATAACTCTGCTGGAGACGCTGGTAATCTTGGTCACAACACCGATGGCTTTGACATTGGTGACAGTAAAAACATTTTTATCTCCGGAGCAATTGTCAAGAACCAAGATGACTGTGTTGCCATTAACTCTGGCACTGTGAGTTTTAACCCATTTTCCAAGACTATCGACTTTACTGATCAGTAAAAGAACATCACTTTCACCGGCGGAAACTGCTCTGGTGGGCATGGTCTCTCCGTCGGTTCTGTTGGTGGACGCTCTGGCACTGGAGCCAACGTTGTCAGCGGTGTGAAATTTCTCTCTTCCACCGTTTCAAATTCCGCCAATGGCGTTCGAGTCAAGACTGTCAGCGGCGCCACGGGCTCTGTCAGCGGCGTCACTTTCCAGGACATTACTCTTGTCGGTATCACCGGCGTTGGTATTGATGTTCAACAGGATTATATGAATGGTAAGCCAACTGGTATCCCCACTGCTGGTGTCCCAATTACTGGCTTGACTATCAACAATGTTCATGGTACCGTGGCTTCTGGCGGTCAAGATATTTATATTCTTTGTGCAAGCTGCTCAGGTTGGACTTGGACCAAGCCTCTTATTACGGGTGGAACGGAGGTAAAGAAATGCCAGGGTATTCCTACAGGAGCTTCTTGCTAAGCTTGAGATTTTCTAAGCCGAGGGGTGGCAGAACTTATGGGTTCTGCCAGTGGTTGATAACTATAAGGTTATTAGGAGAGAGATAGTGAGATTGAGGCTTCTGAGGGACATGTTCGTGGTTTGATTTAGGAATTATTCTGTATGTGGCGGTTGAAACTGGGCATATAACTATGTTAGTCAGTGGGCTCTATAGTTTAGACATATACTTTTACCCAGATTCATTTCTAGTTATTCTGTACAATGATTTGTGATTACTTGCTGACATCTTCCGAACGATCGCTTGATGTGGCCATCACTATAATTCTGTTCGAGTTTGCAGATGGTAAGCTAGTAATTGAGAAACAGGTTTACTTTTTCGAACAGTAAAAAAAGACATGCCTGTGTCACTGATGTAATTCCGACCAGACAGAATTTCAATTTCGTATCTGTGAGCTGAGGTTTACTTTTCCTGTTTTTCTTAATGAATAATCGCTTCTCTAATCATTGCCACAAGGGTTTCATTGCAAAATCACATTTCCAGCTCAAGCTATACCAAATTTGGTTAAAAGAGTCTCGATAAACTTATTTTCATTCGGGAACGTCAATGTAGCAGCAATAAAGAGGCCATGAATTAAACTAAGTCGATTTCCATCTTACCTTCCTCAACCTCATAATTATGTAATCCTCCCAACCTACGCTTCCACCTTCAAAGTGACCAAGAAAGTATTTCTCGCATGACATGAAGCACATATACTCCTTGAAACAAACAAAAGAGAGAAAGGCCTTTGAGAATAAACATCTTCGGTGGTGCTTAGATTTTGGGCACCGCGGCTCAACAAGAAACCGTCTTATTCTTGCTTTGACATTCAAATATACATGTTATAACTATAGAGAAGTCAACCAGAAGTGATTCATTGGTTCAAAGTCTACCAACCTCCCTTTTTGAAATGTGTATCATCTTAATAAAGCGTGCATGTAATCTTTTAACTTGTGTAAGTGATTGACCTTCAACTGCGAATGGCCGAAAAGACGCGAACCTTGGTGTGGTTATCGCCTCATAGTGCAACAACCACCCAAGCGAGCCAAGTGTTAACGACTGACCGAGTATGCCGTGGAGTCTAATCATGATAAGAATCCAGGTATTTAAAGGATGAGATTGTATAATTGTACCACTCGAAACTGCTCAATACATGATCTGATGTTGATAGCGCCCTGACTGTGGTGTGATTCGTTTGCTTGGAATAAGCGCTAGCTGATTGTACAAGATTCTAAACATCAGCCGCTATTCTAGTGTATAAATTGACCCTCGAGGCGTTCGGTCACATAATTTTTAATATCTCTGCCAGGAGGATCTAGTCGATCTTTTTCTAAATATACGAAATGACAAGAAGATTTAGCCTCTATTTCGATATTCAAATCAGTATCAATAGAGTCCTAATGAATATATGTTAATGAAAGTTATATCAAACTGATGTCTCATTAGTTGTTTTTGAAATGTGATTAGATTTATTATTAAAATTATATTTTGTATTGAAATGTTCATTGATTAATTGTGAGATTCTATAATAGATATATTGAATCATTTATTAATATCTTATTGATTAAGAGATACATTAATAATTAATATATACTAACCTTCAAGAGGAAATGTCGCATGTTCACGATTCCTAGTCTTGATTTTGATGACGAGAACGGAGGGAGTGTCTTGAGGATATTCTTTTGTCGTTTTTGGCACTACATAACGATTGTTATTGTTTGGATTATCATGTACACTTTCTCATCTCATCACTTATGATCTCATCACATAACGTTCCTGTTTTTTGTTGTCGTTTTTCAAAAGTCGTTTAATGCTAACAATCATACACGTTTTCTTGATCACAACCATGACATATTGGCAATCTGTATTTCCTCTGAAGATACCCGGTGCACCAAGTATCAATTCACTTCCATCAACTTTCGCTTCCACATAAGCAAAGTCGTGTAGCTTCAATACCGTATTGCTTGTCAAGAAGAGATTGATTGGGATCTTCGTGAGAATATAACTTCTTCTGTTGTAAAAGCAAGGCACACTAAGATTCCCGAGGTGATTGTCGTCGCGGTAGAGAAAATGAGGGGTAATAGTGGATCCTCGTTTGCTTAGCGAGTATGCCAATTTTGCCAAGAATCTTGCGGGGCCTCGGACATGGTGTGATTGCTGTTGAAAGCTTACTTGGGCTTCTTTGGATTGATTCTAATGGTACATCCAGCAAATCAGCCACTCCCTCTTGAACGGGTGAATGAGCAAGCACGTCTTTCCCGTATGACCACATGAGGTTGGAGCCTTCCAGTTTCCAAAATTCAGGTTATAAATAACAGTATTGAGTGCAGATGTACCGTATTTGATGAAAGGGCAAGGTGAAGTATAAGTTTTTCTCCAATTCATATGATAGTAGGCATATTTCGTCACTGTTACCCCTGATCAACCAGGCGTCTCCTAAAGGAGATGAGCCAGTTGAGTGTGAAGATTGAACATGAAAAGCTAAGGACAGTTATACACCTGACTATTCCACCAACTTTACCTTGCGATCTCCCAAGCAATGTTCTAGCTAACGTCTAGGAACCTTGTCACATCTCAAAACATAGGTTTCTATCTACTGTAATTTTTTCTAATAGTGCGGTCGTTTTCCTACTTTTATCCATTTGTGCGTCATCAGGAACTGCGTCATACATCTCAAGTCTCACTTGGAAAATACGACGATTTCTTCATGTGCTCTTGAAACTTTTTTTCTTTAGATTGAACGATGCCTGGAGATTTAGTGCTGGGTAAAAATGGAATATAGATACTTGAGGAGTTGTAATGGTCTGATTTCCGTAGGCTTGAACAGCCCTTAGATCAATTTTTTCACATCTCTCATGGTCACAGGATAAGAGAGAGCTTTACACCTGGTAGATCAAGATTGAATTTTAAGAGGGAATGAAGTGATGTACCGGCGAGGTATGAATCCTTATTGTTGAAAAATTATTCACTTCCTATTTCGAAACAAATCGTCATCTTGTCGAGGTTTCCTACATTGAAATCGTTGAATTGGATCTGAAAAAGGGTGGAATCTCAAAAAAAGTGTTCCGAGATCCTACAGTAGATGAATGCCCACTAGTTCTCCAGTAATGACTTTTGCGTGTGCAGACATACTTATTAAAAAATAACTTAGGCTGATCAAATTGTATAAAAATCTGTTTCATGAAAGAAAGATAAGTCGATATCACTAACAGTAGAAGTTTCTAGAATGATAGCAGCCAGGTAAACGATAGTTTCAAATTTTCAGGTCGACAAACCTCTGCTAAAAAGCTTTTCATCATTGACTCTCGCTTCTATCCAAATTCAATCCTTTGTTGCGACCTGCCACCTGCATCTTCGCCCGAGGTACTATCGTAAGTTTGAAATCTGATTTTGAAAAATCTTGAGATTGAGGAATCTTTATCTCCAGATATTGAGTCGCGGAGTTGAATTCACTTGCTTGTCATTGGTGAGATCGGACATAGTAAATGGCCATAATTGTTCCGGGAATGAATGATGTAGATTCAGTAGTCTACGTTGCAGAACAATATATGGGATAGCAAAATCGGAGGGGGATGGACATGATTCACTTTGATTGAAACCGCGAATTTGATGCGTTGACTTGAATCTAGGATGATGAGCCATTTAAGCTTCATATTAACTACAATTTCTTCGCATATTAGACACCAAGATGGTAGATCTTACGAGTTTGCGACCTAACTGCGTTTCGATTCTCGATTTGTATGGATGAATTCTGAGCGCTTCTGATATACTATTTCATGGAGATTAGTTCTAGAATAATAAGAATATTATTAATATTCTAATAATAGTGAAAGACTTAATCACTTTCAAGCTTAGGGATATATAATATAATGATAGAATTGAAATCAAGCCATAAAAATAAACTAAATTGAACTGAATGATTCCACTTACTTCTATTAGATTTTCTTTTAATAATATTCTAGATTTATATAATTTGTAATGATATTCTAATAGTTTTTATATTTTCAGATAGAATTAATTTGAATTAGATTTTATAAAATCATTTTTATCATAAAAAGAAAGTATGATCAATTAATTTTATTAATAATCTTCTATATGATTTCATTTTATTCTTATTTATTATAAATCAATTTAATAAAAAATCGTTTTATATATTAGTCATCAATATATCTCTTAATGAATAAGATATTAATAAGTGATTTAGAATACTTATTATAGAATCTCATATTATTCTATCTTCTTATTAAGAAACATGCGACACTTGTCTCATATATTGAATGATAACAACAACTAAGATATATGTAATAATGATAAAATGATTGCGACTATTGTATGAGAGAAGTATAACTCGAAGTTTCAGTGAGTCGTTAATAGTTTGTGTCCATTTGTTACAGTTCTTGCCTTGAGATTTATTTCGTTGATCTGCTATATCTTTGGACTTTAAAAAAGTTTAGAGGTTATCTGAAGCCTTAAATAATAGTTTCATGATAAACTTGGGTATTTGGGGCTTGTTTGGATAGTATTAGTCAACAGATGACATTTGTGGTTGATGAGTGAATATCGGTAATTCCCTGCTCCGATTTATCAATTCACGAATATTTAAACCATTAGGAAGCAAGATACCCAAATCACAAAATGTCAAGATATTCTCTGATTCTTTGATAGAAGAACTACCCGACGTTGTGCTGCTGCCAAGTGATAGATATCGAGCTGGGGAGATAAATGATCACTAGGGCTTAAGTTGCGTGAATAATTATACTCTCGGTTATTCATTGTCACATTTGTGCAAGCTATTGCCATTCATCATCAAAACTTGCTGTCAGTCGAAACCAAACCCAAAATCACAGTTACTTTCTCAATCGACGAAGCGTAAGTCCCAATAACGCTTGAAGAATCCGATGTAATTCGCATACCTGAATGATACTTACAATCTTTTCCAGGTGACCAAAATGACTCCGGTGTCATTTTTGTTATCAGAGGGTTG